TCTTCTATCGTTTCGAAAAAAAAATAAAAAAATAAAATCTCTACTCCTCACAAGGAGGGCCATGACACATACTAATTAATTAATGAATTGTTATTCGCTTATATTAAACATCTACTCATCACAGCACAGGTGTACTAGTTTCAAGGTATGTGACTAATGTGAGTGCGAATATCAATATCTGCATAAAATTTTGTTTACGGAGAACACAGCCTGGCCGTGAGAAAGGCATCACCATTTTTTTTTTTTTTTATTAATTTTGTTATTTTTGGTTTCTTCTATCATTTAACATGACAAATTCTAACCCCAGAGCGCTTCGATGAGATGATTGAGTCTCTTCCAGCTTAATCAGTGGTCTCGTGATCGAGCTCTGAGAATGCAGCAGTATTAAAATTTTTGAGGGAGAGCTTTGCCGCCTTTGTGGTCCTTCTCGGCTCGATTCCGGATTAGTCGATTCCCCTGTAGATCCGGTTTAAGGTCCCTGTACCAAAAAAATATGGCAAATTCTAGACGTCTCCAAACACGACCTAACAATAGTTAGTAGTTACTTTAAAACCTCTGACCAAAATCTTCCACTAATGTTTGGCGGCCTTGATTCCACGCCACGAATCACTCTTCTCAATTGAATTCTTCTTAATTTTCTCGCATTTTCTTCTGCATGCAAAAACCCCCACCGAATCAAAACTCACACCAAGAAAACGGGCAAGAAAAGGCAATAATCAGAAAGAATATTCTTATATTGTTCCTCAAACCACAAATTTTCGAATTTCAGATGGTGGGTTCATCGAGACAAGGCTTGCCGGCATGGGCGGGGGTGGCGACGGCGACAAGAAAGGTGGAATTAGATAAAAACATGGCGGTGAAAGAAGAATCTTCACTAACGGCTTCCTCTGTTCCCAAAATTTCGGAGGTGGACTTGAGCTTCCGAGAAAGGGCACTTTCAGCTGGCGCCGCCGCTTTCGTTTCCGCCCTTATCGTTAACCCTCTTGATGTTGCAAAGGTGTCGTCTTTATCGATTTTCTGTTTTAAATTTTTGGCCCCTTTTGTGCAAATTAATCAGTTCTGAGGAGTTTCATGGGTTTAATTTTAAGTCCTTAGAAATTGGGATTTGTTTTTATTTGTCAATGGAAGTTATTGTTCCCTGTTATGCAAACTGCTAGGTGTCGTGAGTTGATTCAGCCTATAAATCTGTAAAACTAATATGTTCTTTTTGATGATAAATAGGATGATTTCGCATGTTGTCCTGTGTATCTTTGGATATGTTTAAAGAGTACCATGCACTAGACTGGTGAAATATATTACAGTAGTCAGCAACTTTAATTAGTTTCCTTGTGTTCTATTACCTTTTGTTTTCATTAGATTTTGGTGTCTGCTTGATGTTTTCATCCTTTGTTATTTGTATGTCATTTCAGACTAGGTTGCAAGCTCAGGCAGCTGGAGTTCCCTATTTCGGTTGCTTCGATACGGGCACGGTAAAAAAAAGCCCGTTTTCTGCTACATGTGTTTTTAGTAGTTCTTCATTTTCCCTTTCTACATGTGTTTTTAGTACTTCATTAATTTTCATATGAGGTGACTTTCGTGGCATCCGTATACCTCTCGATGGGTGTCCCTCTGAATGCAGGCTATTTCTGGTGACATTTACAGTATAAATTTCTTGCTTCCATTATGTTACTGCTGTTGGAAACTCAATATCTAGCTGATATTAAGTGAGTGTTACCAAAAAAGCTTGTACTTTCAGAAGAAGGGACCTATCGTAGCAAAAGCTAAAACTAAATAAGCATTAGAAGTTGGCTAGTTGGCTGTGTTTTGCAAATAGAAGCGAAAATTTAATTGATAAGGGTGTGTTCTAGTTAATGGGTTCTAAATGGTCTTTTAAAATATTCAGCAACAGATCTAAGGCACCTCTACGGTTGCTCATTGAGTTAATTTTATGCAATGATGAGTAAAAAGTGGCATTTCAAAACAATAGAAGCTGTCTTCCTTCTTTCCCTTGTCACTCCAATGCGAAGCTGGGTTTATACTAGTTTAGGAGAAACAGAACTGCAGTTACTACATTAGAGTTTAGTGAAAATGCATTCTTATAGTATTTGTTGCTTTGTTCTTGTGCCCAGATGTTTCCCGAACTCAAGTACGTACAATCATCTGCCAGCTCTCGACCACTGTGCTCTCCTGGTTCCACTCGCTACAGAGGAACATTGGATGTATTTTATAAAATTATCAAGCAGGTTAGTGAATTTGTAGAGAGGATCTACATGCCCTTGGTCTGTCCCTATATGAAAAAAGAATACTTCTTTAACCTATGAATACAAAAACTAATTAGTTCTAGCCTTATTACAAAAAAAAAAGAAAAAAAAAATCAGATTCTCTTTACGACTTGCACACTCAAGAGTGCATGCTTTATTAGAGTAGCATACAAACTGCAAATAGGTGTTTAGCAACGTTTTTAAGGGAGTGTTTGTAACTTTGAAAGATAATTGTAATGATTCATAATTAGGGTGAAGAAGTTACTCTATCTTGCTGAATCATGCAGGAAGGATTCTCAAGATTGTGGAGAGGAACTAATGCCAGTTTAGCATTAGCAGTACCCTCTGTGAGTATTCGTTTCGCTCATTTGTTCAAGGAGATTGTGATGACCTTGTTCAGGGTATTCTTTTTTTTCTTTTACAATTTTTGCTTATATTTTACAGGTTGGAATCTATATGCCTCTGTATGATATTTTCCGGAACTACATGGAAGATTTCACGTCACACAATGCTCCAAGTGTCACACCGTATGTTCCCCTGGTTGCTGGATCCTTAGCACGCTCAATAGCATGTGTCTCTTGTTATCCTATTGACCTTGCAAGAACTCGTATGCAGGTATTTTTTTACTCAAATTTTCTCTTCGAATTGTTTTAGATTTATTTCAATGTTTACCTTTTATTTATACTAGCCCTTAGTTAATCTTTTCTTTTGAGAACAAAATTCAATGTCATTGTGGTGATCTAATATTCAATGGGTATGTGTAATTTATGCTTTCTATTTTTTGACTTGCCTCACCCGTACCTATTTTTTTACAGCATAGAACACGCCTTTGGTATTTGATTATCTATGTATTTTGGTTAATTGAGAGTCTAATGATCTTTATGGACATAGGCATTCAAACACAGCCAAGGTGGTGGTAAGCCTCCAGGAGTGTGGAAAACTTTGAGCAGTTTTGTCCCTCCCATTAAGAATGCCAGTAATCAATCTTGTATGTTCCCTGTGAAGTGTCAACTCATATTTTCACATTTTTCATTGTAAATTTTTTTAAGTCCGGGATATCATAATATTCTCATTAATTATCATCTCTTGCTTAAGAAGTCGTTTTGAGATCTCACTAGTGTAGCTGCACAACCGTCTCGTTGCCAGCATATGTATATTAAAAACGGAAGTGTTCGTTTGATAGCCAGATGATGCTAACAAAATCATTTTTCCAAATGGAAGATTTTGTGACCCATGTAATTTTGGGCAAGGAATTTCTACTTATTGTCAGTTTTCTAGTAACTGCACTGCTTAAAAACAGTAGTCGGTTGTGTGTTTTTTTCCTTTCACTCGAATGTTTGGCATTCCTATTCCCTAATTTGTGGTTTACAAAAATTACCTGAGATCTAGCCTAAATACAGAGTACAGAGAACCTTATATCCTTTAATAAAGTCAAAAAATCTTTTCCCCTTTTACTTGTTTATTTTCATAATAAGTCTTACCTCAGGGAATTTGTTGTAACCCTCAGTTTTATTAATCATCCTTTCACATACTGGTCTGGACGTTCGAAATATGGATAAGTGACCATATTTTTCACCAGTTCACAGCTATCGCATACTATGGACTGGCCTTGGAGCACAGCTTGCACGTGATGTCCCCTTCTCCGCAGTTTGCTGGTCATCTCTTGAGCCAGTAAGGCCTTTCTATTTATATGGAATCTTTTGGGGGATTGTGTGAAATTCTTTTTAATGTTTCACACTGTTTATTTATTGTTTTTATTTTTTAAAATTTTTTCCAGCTTAGAAGAAGAATCTTAAGCCGGGTAGGAGATGAGGCTAGTGTCTCAAGTGTCCTGGGCGCAAACTTCTGTGCTGGTTTTGTCGCCGGAAGCCTTGCAGCTGCCGCCACATGTCCACTAGATGTTGCTAGAACTCGACGGCAGATAGAGGTTTTTTTCTTTTCATATTACAATTTTTTTTTTGTCTGTCTATGAAATCATAAATTGGACAATTACAAGATTGCACCTCAGGTTTAGACTAACTGCAGAAAAGCCTGTTTATATAATTCAGCACTAATCTTTTTAAGTAAAATTAGTCTACATATTCTTTATCTTTCGCTGCCATGAGAAATGAGTCAGACCTGTAAAAGTTAATAAGGTCTTGTATAGTGTATCTAAGAAAATAAAAGGGAAAAATTGAAACGCGAGCCC